AGGTCCTGAGTTCAAATCCCAGCAACCACATGGTGGCTCACAACCATCCATAATGAGATTGGATGCCCTCTTCTGGTGTGTCCGAAGGCAGTGACAGTGTAACATTGTACTCATAAATAAAATAAATAAATAAATAAATCTTTAAGGAGAAAAAAAAAAGAGCAACTGAGGAAGATGCCTGCAGTATACACATACACAAATAATTTTTCAAAAGGAAAACAACATATGCTTCAGAGCATGCTGGGGAAAAGGACCCTTTCTATACTGCTGTGGTGGGAATATAAATCAGGGCAGGCACTCTGGAAATCATTAGGGAAATTCCTTAAAATCCTGAACTGTACAGTCTGCTGGATGGTTAGTGGGCACAAGTATTTACTGTACACGGGTGACAACCCAAGCATGTTTCCTGGATTCTACAAACGTGGCAGGAATGAACCAACTCCTAGGAGTTGTCCTTTGACCTCCACATATATATGCCATGGCAAATGTATGCCTGCACAGATACATGCATGGCAAATGCATACACACATACACACACACACATGGAAGGAAAGAGAGAGGTTAATTTTAAAAAATATAGTAAGTACCATAAATCATTCTTAGATATAAACCTAGAGCAATCTAAGTCAACATATTACAGAACACCAATGCTTATTGCTGCTCCATTCACAACAGCCACGTCATGCAACCGGCCTAGATGGCCATCAACAGATGAACCATTAAAAGTGTGGCAGAGATACTGAGCTGTAGAAGAAGAATGAAGTTCTGTCATTTCCGGGAAAATGAATAAACATGTTAGGTAAAAGAAGCTAGGCTTGAGCAAACATCGCATGTTTCTCTCATAAGCAGAGTCTAGTTTTAAACACAAATACATACAGCATAAAAGTAGAGGGGGACTACAAGTGAGAAGGAAGAGATCTACAGGGAAAGGAAAGGGGGAACAAGATGTGAAGTGTAGGCTTCAATATACATGTGAGATGAAAAGAGAAAATGGGTCGTCTGTGGGAAGGGGTCCAGCAATGGTGGGGAGGAAGTATGAATGGAGGACAGATATCAGCAAGGGATAATATTATACTATGGAAATGTCATAATGGGGCTAGCAAGAGGATTCAACTGGAAACGGCGCTTGTGCCAAGCCTGATGAGCAGACTTCAACCTTTGGGACCCACAGAGTGGAAGGAAAGAACTGATTCCCAAAAGGAATGTGTGCACTAAACAAGAAGAGATAATCACATTAAAATCCATTATTTTTTAAGCTAAAGTTTGTAAGAAAAAAAATGAAGTTGGACATCTTATTTCATACCATTTATAAAACTAAGCAGAAATGACTTAAGAACCTAAATAGAAGACCCAAAATCTCAAAACACTTAAGAAAAATATAGAGATTGACACTGCTTTTTAAATGTGATGTTAAAAGCATAAGCAATAATAAAAATTGAAAATTCAACTCATAAAAATGTTAAATTTGTGTATTAACCAATAAGGTGAAAATATAACCAACACAATGGGAAAATTATAGCCAATTCTCATTGTTCTCAGTAGTTATGTTCCACAAAACACACTGTGGTGGCACACTTCTTTAATCCCTGCAGTAGAAAGGTAGAGGCAGGCAGATTTTTGAGTTTGAGGCCAGCTGAGTGAGTTCCAGAACAGCTGGGGCTACATATAAAAACCCTGTCTCAAAAACAGAAAGAAACTAAGAAAAAAAGAAAGAAAGAAAAGAAAACTAAGGGAAAGAAAGAAAAAGAAATCCTGAACAGAGGCTGGAGTATATAGTGCTGTCATAGAAAACTTGAGCTCAGTTTCCAGTGTTCACAACTGCCTATAATTCCAGCTCCAGGAAATGTAATGTCTCTGACCCCCTAGGGCACCTGCACTCGTGTGTACAGACCCATATAGAGACATACACACATATAATAAAAATCTAATAAAATAAATCCTGAAAATACTGAACATGTGATGATACATGCCTTTAATCCAAAACTTGAGAAACAGGAGCAAGGAGGACGAAGAATTCAAGTCTTCCTTAGGTATGTGGTACCTGCCTGGGTTACATAAGACACAGTTTCAGAAAACAAACCAGAAGAAACAAAATACAAGCCTCTGGCCATTCCGTATTTTTATCAATTAATCCCTAAACTTGCTTTATGCATTTCTGTTTAAAGGCACCTTAGTTAACATGCACTATTAATTAACTAACACTGAATTAATGGCCAGCAGCACAGTAGCTTTACTGGAATTAAGCTTAGCTAGCATGCATTTCTCCACATGGCACAAGGCAGACTCACTGCATCTACTAGGCAGCATTCTAGCCTTACATTTAAAATAGACAATGAAACTGCCAAGGGGGAAAAGGCACAAAAATACTAAACATAACAGTACACTAGAAAAAAAAGGCTGTTTCTTTGCATTAGGAGAGGTGAGCGCCACCTAGTTGACCTCAGCTGGGAATGTGCTCAGACAGCACAGATGTCTTGCTATTCTGTGCACGTAGAGGAATAGCCACAAGCATGCATCAAGTATTAAATTGGGGTTTGCAAATAAATTCTAATGAGTAGGAGCATTTGCATTACAGAATCCACAGATAATGAGGACTGACTATATTTACAAACTGTCTCAGATACGACTGTAACACCAGATTATACGAAACACTTCTAGTTCTCAACAACAAAGGAATAACTCAATTAAAAACCAGGCAAAGGACCGGAATAGGCACTAACCAAAAAAGGTATACAAATAGTTACCACCATATGAAAAGATGATGTCATTATAAAAATGCCAATCAAAACCACAATGATATACTTGACATCTAAGATGGCTATCATTTTGTTCCCTACCTTATGTTGACTATACAATACTTTTAATGACTGAAAGTAAAGGGTACAGGAAAAAATGTGAAATAAATCGAACTCTTTTACATTGCTGGTGATGTGTGAGATGAGATTCTATGGGAAGCATTTTTGGCACTGTAAATGAGTTGGTGATTTCTCAGAAACTTATGATATATGTTACAACATGGATGACCTTGAAAACATTGTGCCAAGTGAAATAAGGCAGACACAGAAGGAAAGCCTATGTGGTTCCACTCACTTGAAATGATCAGGAGTAGACAAATTCATAGACCAGGAAGTAGACCAGAGGTTACCAGGAGCCAGGGATGTGGAATTATTGCTTAATGGTTACAGATTTTTGTACAGGGTGATGAAAAAGTTTTGGAAATTGCAGTGATGGTTGTGTAACACTGTGAATATAATTTAGTGCCATTAAACTGCACACATAAAATTATAACAGCAACTTCTATCTACATCTTACCAGTTTCTTTATAAAGCTGGCTCAGTAGAAAAAATATCACTCAGAAGTGCTCATTATTGCTAACTTTTATTTTGTATTCAAAGACATAGTCAACCAGGAAAGAAAATCTCTTTTCCACTGTCAAATAAATTTATTTAAAAGCTAGCAAACATCAGAGCAGACTTTCATCCAGCCTACCAGAGAGATGGGAAAATCATGAAGTAATTTGCAGCTATACAAAGTTAGCATAGCAGAAAGGAAACGTAACGTAAATATATTCAAATCCTTCGTCTCCAATCCTTGACATTTCAAGGATTGGATCTTGAGAACATTAAAATTACTGTCAAATAAAACTCAGACCACATTATCCATGGTTTTAAAAAGGGAGCAATTTAATCATTATAATACAGAGTACTTTAAGTTTTTAAATGTGTAAAAGAAAAACAGCTTAGTGCATTCAATTGTTACAGTCTTTACATCACTTCTTTTTTTAAAAAAAGTTAACAGTAGTATGAAAAAAGCCACCCACAAAGCCAGCTGTCTGAGTGAAGAAATCAGCAAATTGCAGCATTTGGGAATTGCTAATAAAGCTATAGTTAAAAAATAAAAAGTTTATAAAAATGAAAGCAGCATGCATATTCAAGGCTTTTTCATAACATTTCTCATTAGCTGACAAACATTTAACCAAGAGCTTAGTATTTATTATTCATTAAGTTAGAAAAAAATGAACTGGCCAAACCCACTATGTGTGATCATCCAAAAAGAAATTTTTAAGTCCAAATCTAGTAAAACTGAAAATTTGTTCTGTGAGGAAAGCAGTTTGAAAAATGGTCCTATGATCACAGCAGAAAGGGTCCTTCCCGACAGGAACGTCAGCACCAGTCTAGCACAGTCAGTAGGGACTCTGTCTTCTGCTGCAGCAGTTTCCATCAACAAGCCCCAATTCTTACACAACAAGGTCATTTTTAACTTGTTAGGTTCCGAATTATTTTTCTCTGTTCATTGAAATTGTTACACAAGGTAGAATTTCATGAAAAGATAACTCCTGCAAAATCTGACCTGAGCCTGTTTGGCATTCCTGATTCCCAGCCCGTGAGAACACACTACATGTATTTTACTGTGGACTCTGTTTCACATGTTTGGAACAGTACTTAGAGTTTCTGTCTACTAAGTTCTTTTTCCCTTTGGGGTAGTATCTTCAGTTTAGTAAAAAGCAAATCGGATTCTGACAAAGAGAAGTCACACAAGTGCTGCAAGTGGAAACAATGGTTTCTGAGTGTTCAGAGGAGGGTCTAGTCATGAGGCAGCCAGCCACAGGTCTTCCTGTCCTAGCATAGCAGGTACAGACACACTGCAAACTGTGTAAGCCCATATACAACTTTTAATTTTGGTGTAGGACCTGATCAATAAGACACAAAGTAAAGTAGAGTTTGGTTCTCCTTTCCCATTTTTAACAACTTTTACTCTGTAAAATGTTTGGTCACTCAAAGCTGTAAGCTTAATCACATGTCAAAGAATACAGGTGATACAGCCCATCTTACACAGCTGTAAGCTAGACTAGATGTGAGGACAAGCTCTAGTGGTCATTAACCCCTTAGAAAGTCAAAGATTCACAAGGTTTCCATCCTGTCAGAATAAAAATGTACTGTATTAAAATTTCACTTTTTACAGGTTTGTTTGTTTTAATTAGCACTCTATTTACATTGCAGAACTTCCCCGACTGCAGCAGTTTGACTTTGGCACAACATCAAGTTCCATTTCTTTTGGACATTGGATTCTGTTTTGAGAGTATGTATGCCCCAAAGCATTTTCAGTGTCATCAAGGATTGGTTGGGCCCATTCACAGTAATTCAGATATCTTGAGTTGAAGAACTTATTCTCCTTCAGAATTTTAAGTAGCTATAAAAGAAAAACAGACAAACAAAACCCTGAAACTTTAAAGACAACCACATTTTAATTTTTGCTTTTAGAATAAAGTAATAACCAGTTAGCCACAAATGCATTCTGCATTCTCTTTAGCAGTGAGATCACTTACCACACACACCTCACAGTGCAGTTTGTGTAAACCATGTGTATGTTCCTCATGTGCCACATTTGCTTTTAGACATACGCCTTTCTGTAATCATTTATAAAATTATTAGTAGGAAGATATTTCATTGTCAGTATTTGTAACATGAAATCTAACAATCTATAGTATTTCTGCTTGTATACAAGACTAACTTGTGCAAAATTATAATTACTTTGTATTCTGCAGTATCTTTTTTATCATATTCCTTTGTATATTCATCAAGTTTATATTAAACAATGAGTTCTGGGTTGTAAAAGAGGAATTACTTTTATACCTATCTTCTGTGGCTTAGCCTAGTTACAATATTTTAGGAAGGTTTGGGTAGATATTTTTGTAAGCTAAATCATATTTAAATAAAACTTTTAAGAGGAAACCTATGCTGAATAATTTTGTGAGAATTTTTGTTAAATGAATTATAACATGCTAATTGATGTGTTTTATAATTTTTCATTTCCAAGTACTTCTTAAATTGTATATATGAGCTATATGCTATGCATAGGTTCATGGAGGGTGCGCATGCATGCACGTTTGCCAGCCACTGGTAGGTGTATGTGTGGGCGGGGAGCGTTCCTCAGCTGCTTTTTGCCTTAGTTTCAGAGACAAGCCAGCAAAGCTCTGATGCAGCTAAGCTGGCTGGCCAGTGAGCTCCAGGTGTACACTTCTCTCTACCCTCTCTCCTCAGTGCTGGGGTTACTAGCACTGTGCCCATAGAATGGGTACTGGGGTCTAAACTCAGGCAAACGCTTTATCTACTGAACTACTTTCTCAACCCTGGCTTCTTTGTGTTTTAAAAGCAAAGGACACATATTCTACATACAATTTAAACTCTTAAAACCAGACTTACGCGAATTTTATGACCATAATCAGTATCTGTAACCATGTTATTATATAAAAGTCAGATCCAAGTAAACAGTATGGAAAATTCACCTAATTTTAGACGATTACAACTCCCCATAAAATGACTGCAAAGGCTGCAACAACAACTCGCTGCAGCAACACATTTGTTGATTTAATCTTGGCGGAAGACATGTTCTTGTATTTAGCAATTAAAAAAAAAGCCTGCTACAAATATTTTATGCATCTGGGTCAGAACAAAGCCTGTGGTGAAGTCTCTGACATGAGGAGGTGGAGGGCTAGATTTCAGGATAATGCTACAAAACTCTTGAGCATCTTGTGACTTAAAATGATGACATGGTATTCTCTGACCTGCAATGACTTAGACTGTTGATGTAAATAAGTGACACTTGAGTCCATCTGATTTCTGTCTTAGGGATGTTGGCAAGAAGAAACTAGAAAAGGAACTGTTAATAAGTGAAACTAGTATGTAGCCTTTATTAAGGTATAAATAATTGCTAGAATAAACAAGCCAGGAAGATGCCTCCTGAGGATTAAGAAAATAGTGTGTAGAATAAAAGAGCACGCATGTAGGTTAGAGAGGAAAGAAGCCAAGGAAATAAGTACCTACATGCATATACAAAATAATAATGGGAGTCTATGCCCCTTCCTCACTCAGTTATTGAAAACACAATAGCTGTTGCTGACTAGATGCTATTTGAGCTACAGAGAGACAAACATAGGCATTTCATGACAGCTAAACTGTTTTCGAAACAAAGAACAGAAAAGAATAAAACCATGTTCCTGAATTCCAAAAGAATTAAGAATTGAAGTGCTGGGCTGAGAACATGGCTTAGTGGTAGAGTGCTTGCCTGGCATAAACAATCCCCTAACTCACTCCCCAGTGTTCGAACTTACATACAAAGAACTGAAGACCTACTAACTTCAGGTGACTATCTGCAACTACAGTAAATTTTTAATTTAATCTACAAGCTATTAAGGAGCACACCAAAACTTTTAGATTTAAACTATATTCATTTGCACTATGAAAATTTTATATTGTTTTAAGAGAGGATTTTGCTATGTAGCACAGGCTAGCCACAAACTTGAAATCCTCCTGCCTCAGTTTCTTAATGTTAGGATTATGGGAATATGAAGCCACATCCAGCAGGAAAATTTTTTTTTAACCAAACATAGTACTTATACTATAAGAAGTTTGTCTTATCCTAAAGAGCAACAGATATTTTAGGTGACTGAGTTAATTTATATCAACTATTGAATCTGTAATCTACCTTTTGATTTATGACAAAAAAAATTGCATTGTAGTTACTCAAAGACAGATGCCACCTAAGCACTGGTGAGTTAATACAGGACCTAGAATAGGCCTTTGTCTTTTAACAGAAAATGATACTGAATGCAAAATGCATCTTAAACTCTAGCAAAAGTCTGATGACATTTTGGGAAACAACAATGGAGAAAAAAGCATCTATTTTTATTTCTGTTTCTTCAAACCCATCAGTATACTTGCCCTTATTTTTAGTTTTGTTTTTTTAATTGTTTCCTTAGACAAAATTGTTTCCATAGACAAAGATGAAACATTGGTAGAGAGAAGGCTACATGAAACACCTTTTAGTTACCATTATTGTTTGTTTTCTGTTTCCCTTCTTCCTTTTCTTTAAAACAAACTAAAGTGTTTTATATGGAAAATAAATAAGTAAAGGGACATTAGAACAGTAAACCCTATATAATAATCAAGCTACACATCATAATAATACATGTCATGACTAGTGGTACCTGGTCCTCTTATTAGGAAAAAAAGTTTTAAAAAATTAATAAAAGTGAAGATAAGGGGTAGGGAGACGGCTCAAGTCTCTAAAGTGCTTGCATAAAAACACGCAAACCTGAGTTCAGATCCAAGACCCCTCATAAGAGCCAGGCACAGCAGTGCACACCGATATCCCTACTGAAGATATAGAAATAGATGGATCCTTGGAGCTTTTGGAGTTCCCTGGCCACCTAGTATTGCTAAATCAGTGAGCTCCAGATACAGAGAGATGCTGTTCCAAAAAATATGGCAGAGGGCAATAGAGGAAGACAGTATCAGCCTCTGGCCTACACATGCCTACACACACACACACACACACACACACACACAAACACACACGCACATGCACTAACGTGAAGATGAATGAACCAATAAGATGGCTGTTAAAACATGTGTATGATGATAAATACAAAAGCTAAACACTTACATTTCAGTCATCTGACTTAGAAAGCTTCCGCTTCACATGTCGTGGGGGTTCCCAAGTGTCGCTATCATCTGTTTCTTCTTCATCTTCTTCCTGATCATCAATAACTTCCTCTTCCTCTTCATTTTCCTCAAATAATTCTATACCTAACTCAGATCTTCTCTGTCTTTCTGCAAACCACTCTCTGACCTGCTCATAACCCATATGTGATCTGTTGACAAGTTCATCAAGGTCTTGCTCATTAAGAAATTTGTGCTTCAGGTAATAATCCTTAAGTATTGCTGTTCCAGTTTTAAACTTTATAAGTGATGGTACCCTGTCCCAGGTGTTCATTCTTTTTCCTCCTCTGGGCCGCCCACGTGGTCTGCCTCTGCCCCGTCCTTTGGGTCTGCCTCTCCCTCTTTTCCTATGGGAAGACAGACCATTTAAACTACTTGAATTGGAGCTTTGATAGTAGTAGTACCATTTCAAATTACCATTCTTCCAAGCATAACGAGTATCCCCAAACCAACTAACTATGTCTGTTCTGGCAAGCCCACTTTCTTCAGCCAGCTTGTCATACTCTTCTGCTGATGGCCACTGGGTTCGGACAAATGCACTTTTAAGCATGTGCAGCTGCTCTGGTGTTTTCTTACATATCTTGCCTGTCCCTCCTGACTTAGGTGCAACTGCTTCATCTCCAGGAGAATTTTCTCCAGGTTCTTCTTTGGAACTACCTACATTACTTTCATCTACTTCTATTTTCTCATCCTTTAAAGCTTTTGTTTTATTTTTCTCTGTAAACCAAGCATCAATTTCTCTTCTAGTAAGTTTGGTTTGCGCTCTTAACCTATTTAATTCTTCATCTGTAAGTACAGAATTGTTGAGAAAACTTGCCTGAAGGACACGAAGTTGCTCTGCAGTTTTCTCTTTAAACTTCTGGGGAGCAAAGTCAGGAAAGGGATTCCAGGACTGTTTTGGCTGTGAGGCAGCTGCAGCTGGGGGTTCTGGGGTCTCATCGCTGGAGTCTATGATGATAGTGGCAGAGGAGTCACTATTGAGATGTAAGCACTGGTTACTCTTTGAATTTCTCTGGTTGTACCTTGTATCACTAAACCATTTTTTAATCTCGCCTTTGGTAAGGCCTGTTATTTTCATAAGCCTGATGATCTCTGAGTCGTGGGGAAACTGGTTTTTAAGGTAGCTAACTTTCAGTTCTGCCAGCTGTTCTTTAGTCTTTTTGGCCCGAATACCAAATGAATCTGGGTTCACTAGTGCAGCTTCAGGTCTGACACTTGGTGATGATGGAACTGCTGCTGTGGCTGGTTTTGTTTCTGTAGCAGGCTGAGCAGCAGGCACTTGACTCTTTTGTACATTTGTTTGATTTGGAACCCCTGCCACTGTCAGGGCAATGGGTGCTGTTACCGGCAAAGTGTTTGTTCCAGCTACTTGAGTAAGGACCAGACCTGGCTGACCAACGATTTGGCATGTCTGTAAAATAGATGGTAACCCATTACTCCCTGTGGAAATGTGTGTAGGAATAACAGTTATGGTCTGAGGTACAGTATGTACTGTTCCATTGAATTGTTTTCTTCTTGCCTCCTCTACTTCTTCAGGAGTCCAACTAACACCATGCTTTAAACGTTGGGCTGAAAACCAGATCTTGATCTGTTCCTCTGTATATTTTGCTTGAGCAGAAAGCACTGTAATTTCTGACATTGTAGGATAAGGGAATTTGTTGTAGGTATTAAGTAGAAGAGGATTGTTATCCAATGCAGCATTGTAGGTAGGAATGCTATTAACGGGGATTAAGACTTTAGGGACCAAGTTTGAGTTTTGTTGAGCAGACACTGCAGTTATCACCTGTGCTAACCCAGGAAGAACAGCTGTGGGGGTCACCACTGTG